CGCGATCGTTTCTTCCTTCAATGGTATCGCAAAAGATTTCACCATTACTAATTTACTATTTTCTCTTTGTCTAGCTTACAAATTTTGATTAATTTTTTCTATTTCTCTCATTTCTATCGCATCAATTGATATGAAATATGGTAGATTGTCCCATTTAAATGGAACCAGATAATACGCAAAAATGTTGTCTACGCAGGAGGGGGGAGGGCGCAAGGTAAAGGAGAATTATGTAAAGAATTTTTATTAATTAGATAATATTCGATCTAATAATCGATTATAACAAAGCGTTATTTCAAAGATTTGAATATCTTCGAAAATGTTTTTCGTGAAAATGCGAAAAATCTGATTTGAAATACTTCAAACTACGACGATAATTTGAACAACGCGGTGAAGCTTTTTTTTGGGGTTATTTTTTTTTTGCAGAGAAGAAGGGGATGAATTTTCCATTTTTTTTTCTTCTTTTATAGGAGGGTAGGAGCAAAAAGTGGCGCGAAATTTGAACGAATTTAGTAGGCAATGCGGTTCCATTAAGACGAGGCAGTCTGTTTTTAGTGAAAAAAAAAAAAAAAAAGAAAAAAAACATATAAGAAAAAGAAAAGAGTCTTGCTCTCAATTCGTCGAAAGGATGCATTCAACGACGAATGAATGTGAAAGCACGACGAAACCTTTCTCTTCGTAAGAACGCAAGCACAAGACGGAAGCCCATAAGCGTAAATCTGAACGTGTATGTGTGTGTGTGTGTGTGTTTGCATGTATGTATGTATTTATATATACGAGGAAACGCGCGCAAAAGAAATTCATATTTATGCACGTAATGGGTGCTTCGAACAAACCTTTTCTAGGTTGAATAAAATGGGAATAACGTTCAGAAACGGATACTCGAACGATCTTTCATAACAATGAATATTCAATTGAAATTGAAATAATAGCACCTTTATTGCAATCAAAAATTTCTCTATTTAACAATATCCGATATAAATATAATAATAAAGGATGTCCCAGAGATAATCTGTATCTTCTTGTTACGTGTAATATGTTAAACATATATTCGAGATTGATAATTTTACATCATTTAAAATTCTTTAACTGAATACACCGACATTGTAATTTTATATCATTTCAAAATCTACAGTTTAAATGTTATGGTAATATAATTCAATATTTTCATCGTTTAATCTCTTTGCTCAATTTAGTTTTTGATTTTGTTAAATTGTAATATTATTTTTAAATATAACAATACGTTTTATATTTCAAGTTGTTCTCCATGTGGTATTTTCAGATAAATGTTTCTCTCGAACAATGTCGGTCACGAATGTATTCAAGTTAACGAAATGTCAGTCAAATAGCATTATTATTGCTTTTAATGAAATACAGAACATTGTAAAGAGTTTATGAAAATGTTTCATAACAGTAATATAAACGAAATATTTTCTATTTAAAAAAAAAACATGTTATTGATACATGTTACAGTAAGTGTTCCATTTCAATATTTCAAATTTAAATAAGATTAGTAACCCAGCATCAATAATTTATATATTGTAACTAGAAATGGATTATCTGGGACAATCCATGTATACATATACAGTAGAATCTCATTATTCCGATACATAATGCTTTATCTCGAAATAAAAAAAAGAGAAAAGAAGAAACAAAAATGTATAATACATTGTCGTCGTTGATCTTTGATTCTTTCTTTATCAAATTTAAACTTCGTATGTTTAATCTCGACTGATATGAGTAATAATACTATCGATTTATCTCATTCCTCACGATGATGATAACCACCTGAATAATCAAGATTCTACCGTGCTGAGAGAGCAAACCGTATAACTCTATATAGCTGCTTTTATATATATTTATATATACATATGTATATTTGTTTATAATTTTAACAATTTATAATGAAAAATATTCTATATTTAGAAAAATGTATCCAATTTGTCAACAACCAAATATTTCAAGAGATTCATGTTAAAACGGTTGGCTCCTGTACATACACCATGTATTTATAAGTTTACCCTATAGGAAACGTATTCATTTCTGTTTGTTTTCTAATATACATCAAAGATATTAGATATTTAATTATTTCAAAATTCTATTCGAGATTACTTTCTTCAATTTTGTAACTGGTCGTGTATGAATCGTTCGATCCATTTGTTTTACGCTTGCGTTCTCACTGCTGAAATGTCACGTCGGATTCTCTCTCTCTCTCTCTCTCACTCACTTACTCACTCACTCTCACTCTGTCTCTTTTTTTCTTTCTGAATGCGCTCGAGGTTCTCAAAAAAAAAAAATACTGACGTATCGTCGATTCGTTCGTGCAACGAGTAACGATCGATATTCACGATATTTTCTCTCTCTCTTACTCTCCCTTTCCCTAGTAATATCTGTCTTACCTAAAATGGTCCTTGTTAATCGTCGCATTTCAACGAGCACGGGGTGTAAGAGACGCGGCTCGTTGTGTTTCCTTGTCGGCTATATATGCATTTCCTATCCCCCCCACCCACTCATTGCACGCGTAAAAGCACGTGCACGTATCTCACCGTATATGTATACATATATATGTTAGACTGTACTTTACACACATCATATTACAATACACCTTCGCTCGCATATTTACGTATAGTTAAAAGTTTCATATACGATATACACTTTGTAACTCGTGATTAAAAAAAAGTAACATCTCTTTCTCTCTCTCTTTTTCTCTTTGTTTTTTTTCCCCCGTTTATTTTTTGAATCATTGATAGGATAGATTTTTTGCTATATAACATAGATAAAATCGAAGAAAATATTACACGTGCGATGTGTTATTTTTTGTATCGTTATGATTTGAGAACAAATCTTTTTAACGATCAAATAAAACGATAATTTATAACTTTAGAAAAAAAATTATTTTGTAATATAATTTTTTTATGTATTACATTCTTTCGAATTATCGATTTATATTATGTTTGTATACATATATATATATATATATATATATATATATATATACAAGAATAGCACGTGAAATATTATTCTTTTTTTAATTTTATCATTAACTTTACGATTGTTTTAACATATTTCCATGATGTTATCGTTTTCTTTCGTTGTTTTAAAAATACCTTGAGCGATTTTTCTTGGATATGATATGCTATATTGAGCAAAATATTAAATTGCATTATTATATTACATTTGACTTTTTATTTCTTGTAATTATTACGATGAATTTGCTAAGTTTGAAATGAAATAATTGATAACATAAATTGTAACCAACTTGCAAAAAGAAATCTTTTTCGTAGGCGTTAACATTGTTCCTCCGGGTTTAGTGTAGTATTTTAAATAACATTAAAAAGCGACAATTTTGAAAATCACGAGCAATGACGCATATCCTCTGATATATTTTCAAACTCGTAACGCACGATGATTTTTGTCTTTTCCTTCGGTGGTTCACCATTATCTGTTAAAAATTCTTTTGCGTGCACAATTTTGTTAATAAGTTTTTTTTTATCAAAGTTTTCTCAATAATTCGCATTATCGTAAATTGCTTTTTTCAAAAAATCAAAAATTAATCTCAAATCTCTGCTTAAATAAAATATATTTATATTCGAGATTAAGTGATGAATTTTTTATTATAATAATTTTCCTTTAATCAAATTGACTTTCCTCGTCGACGTATTTGTTATCATCATTTTAACATATTATTATGTTCCCATGGTAATTTCAAAGATATCACCAATGCGATTTAATTACAAAATTGTTTTTGTTTTAAAACGTGGTTTTTCCTTTATCTTTTTTTTCTTGTTTTATAAAATTTTACAAAACTACTTGTGGAAATTATACTTTTCAAGATCGTATATTTAACAAACTAATAATTATGAAGGAAAATATTTGGAAATTCCGTAATAATTGTCTTACAATTAGAATATAACATAATGTTATTTTATTTTAGTGTCGACGAAGGTGATAAAGAAAGAATAAATACACGTGGCAAAAATAAAGAGCCGAATGAGCTAAATTGTTAAATTCAATGAACACATAATTTTTGTATATGCAAAAAAAAAAAACAAATTTTTGAACCATCCACAAATCAAAACGATTAATTCAATATTCAGAATTGTTTACAATTTTATTATCAAAACCATTGACCGATACTTGAATTTGTATATTTAATATAAACATCATTAAAACAACAATAATGTTTCTGGCTACTCGATAATAAATGATACAACAATTTTCTATCAATTTATTATTTTTCTCTACTTTTTCCTTTTGCGTAATTAATCGATTTGATAAATGAATAAATTCAATTAAAAATGAAATAGCAAAGAACGTGAATTAATGTATATACGACCGCCGATAAAATAACAAATTAAACAACTGTATTATTAAACTTAAAAATATTCTAATTATAAGATTGAATGTTGGAATGTATCAATGACATCAATGTATGAATGTTATAAGATTTTTGTATGTGAGAGTGTTGAAAACTACATGCATCGGATGCGAATAGGATTAAGTTTCTATTCTTTGTTCGACAAAAGTATTCACAGTTGATCTCGTGGCACAGTTAGAACAGTGGTTATATTTTTTTTATTATTTTATGCAAGACCTCATTATCGTTCTACAAATTAATTATAATCATTATAAAATAAACTCTTTCAATTTATATGCACACAAAAGTTTTGAGTAAAAATTATTCACGTTAGTAAAGAAATGATGGACAAAAGAAATCATAACGTTTATGCATAATCTTACAATAATTATGAACTGTGAAAGGTGCATATGAAAAGTGTCCTCGTATAACGATTTATGATCAATTGTTGATAGAAATAAAATAAAAACGAAAGGAAACGAGGTAGAACGAACGAGGAAAGACACAAAGACAATTGCATTAATGAATATAAATGTAATACAAGGTCAACTAACTTATGTAAAAAAAAAAAGGCTAATATATCAAACAAAGTATGAGAAAAATGAAAAAATATATTTCAATCAAAAAGTCCTATGAAAAAAATAATGTTTATCAAAGTACTGATACGTATACAGAATTAAATAATTAAATAAAAGGATTGAAAGAATTGAACATTAAAGGTGACATCGAATGACCCAGACAATGATAAATAAAGATAAAAGATTGATGATCTTAGACGAATTGTAATAATGTCATTCGGGTCAGAATAAATTTATAAAGAACAAAAATATTTACACTTAAATATTAACTTAATATTGTAAGAAGTGATGAGAAAAGTAAACATATGATTGTATACAAAAAATCCACGTTTGCGTTTATATACCAGTGTGTGATAAACGATTAATTTTATGCATGAATTGGTATTCATTCGTGAAACATATCAAAATTAAGATAAGCGTTATAGAGTATTTTATTTCTCCTTTCTCTGATAACGTGTGATGTTAGACGAGAATTGTACTAATTAAGTAGCACTTTGTATCAGGTCTCAGTTTTGTTGGAGTGGTCAGTTGTTATAAATTGTTATTTATATAGTTGCGAGAATTAAATTATATATATATATATATATATATATATGTATTATATTATTATTATTATTAATATTATTATTAAACATTACGATATATATATACACGTATAGCCGTACATCGCTTCGCGATAAATAACTTATCATTCAGCTTCCTCTCTTCTCCTATAATACGTACGCTGACGAACGAGTTTCATAAATTTGACTTCGTTTGATTATTATCGATCAAACGTTTAAGTAGGCAGTAAAACTTTTTATCGATCCAGTTGAAAAAGAAATTCATGTAATCTCGCGACGACCCGATTCGTGCCATTTTTGCGAGGAATTATAGAAGTGGATAGAAGAAGAAAAAAAAATGATATACGCGAAAAGAGAGAAAAATCATCGTACGTAGAGAGAGCATATCGTACATAATATGGTAAATATCGTAGATATGTAACGCAAGATATAAATCAGTGCGCGATATGCCATCGAGTATCACTAATATTCTTCAAAATTTGCGCGACGAGGAAGAAAATAATTAGAAAAAAAAAATATACATAAAGAAAGAAGAGAGAGAGAGAGAAAGATGGAGAGAAAGATAGTGAGAATTAGAGCGAGCGAATGAAACAAAGAATAAGAGAGAGAGAGAGAAAGAGAAAGAGAGAAAGAGAAGAAGAATAAAATATAGAAGAAAAAAAAAAATAATCGGAGGGAAGAAAGAACGATTTTTGCTATCCTAGTATTTTACTTTCGTCTTGACCTCCTCCGCGACGCCGCCCCATCTGAGTTTGTAAACGCGCGAACGCCACTGTATCAGAGGATCCAGGACGGCTTGAATGAAGAGATAGGGTCTCGTGATCTCACTGAGAAGCCATCCACAGACGAACATGAGTTTGTTGAAGGGCAATGGCCCGTTCTGTACGACACACAAAAGCGTCCAGTCGAACATGAACCACAATAGTATGTGTACGAGATAAAAAACTAAAGAGTCCCAGTCGAATAGAACACTGGCAGCCCAGGAGGCACAGGCACCGAGTACGAGGCACTCGCTGAGAGGTTCGAAGACGATCGTGGTGGGTAACATGGCGACACGAAGTTTGGCCCACCTCCTGAGCCTTGCCTGGAAGGAGTGTAACTCGCAGTGGCCGCTGTTTTGTAATGCAGGCTGCGAGCAGACGGTTATTCGCCAACCACGGTCGGTCAATGACTTCGCGTAAAAGAAGTCCTCCGCGAGGTAGACACCGAAGGTCTTCAAGCCGCCGACTTCGTCCAAGGTCGCCTTACGTAGTAAGGCCGACATACCAGTATGACAGTTTATTCTTAAGAGATCGGCCGCAAGGTACATCCTTGATTGTACCGTACCGAAAAATATCTTTTCGTAGGCTGCGGCGAAACCGTCACGGTCGTACGTGAACGGCATCTGGTGTACCAATGCTACTTTATCGGTCATGTAGTTGACCATATCCAACAGAGTGTCCTCCTTCATCCTTATACCACTATCGCTGATCAGTACCAGCTCGTATTTCGCCGTTTCGTAAGCCGGTTGCATATTGTTGATCTTAGGATTGACCCCAACGTTGCGACCACCTACGAAAACTCGCGCCTCTATTTGAGGATATTTTTCTATTAATTTCCCGACTAGCATCAACACCGGATCGGAATCGTCCTCGACACAGAAGAGCAATTCGTATCTAGGATATTCTATTGTAAAGAATGTCTCGAGATTTCCGAATAAATTCGGATCGACTCCCATTAACGGTTTGATGATCGAAACGCCAGGCAGGGGAGTTTCGTAACTTGGTATTTGAGCAATCTTACGATGAAGTTTCCAACGGCCGGCTATCAAAGCCAACACGTGAACGATCCACATGCCCGACCAGAATATCATGAAGAATATCGCGAACCCGTACAGGGTATACAGCATGGAGTTCATCTTCGAGTAAAGGACCGCAGGAGGGTGAGGTTGAGGTCGAGGAGGAGGGAATAATTCACGGAGATGACTCAGAGAACGGGCAACCGGCAGCGGCGTGCACGGTTGTTCCGCGTGCTCAACTCCAGTCCTTGTTTTTCTTTTTCTATGCTATTTGATCGTCCGAACGGCTTCTTTTTCCTCGAGGTTGTCGTCGTAATACCTAAGATCGAGGTTCCATCGCGAGGCAAGCCGTAACCTGAGAGTAAAAGACGACGACGACGGCGACGACGACGACGACGACATCTTCGAGGCTCGCTTCGAGGGGAGGGGAGTGGGATCACGCGAGATGATTTATCTCCTTTTTTGCTGTCTCCGCCTCTCTCCTCATCTTCGTTAACGTCGTCCTTTCTTTCATCGTTCTTTTCCTCTCGATCGTCGTCGTCGTCGTAGCGAGTGCGGCGTTTGCGAGTCACCGCGCACCACCGCATTCAAGATGATCCTTTACCGAAGGAGTATCTCGTGTCGTTCTTCCTTCTCTTCTCTTCTCTCTTCTCTTTTCTTCTCTCTCGGACTTCGAGGACGACGGCGACGGTGATGGTCGCGCCGGCGATGTTCGCGTCTGCCGTCGTCGTCGCGTTACGCTAGTTTATCGTATCCCTCAACTTTTTCCAATACTTTTCTTATTACTCTTCCCTCCTGTCGCGTTCTTTTTTTTCTTTTTCTATTGGTGTTAATTGTCGTCAGCGTTGTTCGTAGGTGATGAAAAACGCGTATGCCGGCACGATCTTCGTCGACACGACCGCCACCGTCGCCGTCGCCACCGTCACTACTATTACTACCACCACTAATAGCTTTGCTGGGGCCACCACTACTACTACTATAACTACTTCTACTATCAGCACTGCCACCACCAGCACCAGCTTCGCCACCTCCACCACAATCACCGCCACTACCGTAGCCGCTGTAGCCGCCGCCGTAACCACCTGGTCGACACGCGTCACCTCCAAACTTCCAAATACCCTCCTCGGTGACGTATTCAAAAAGGGGACAAACTTTAGTCGGCAAACGAACGTCGAGTAAGAATCTAGCTCTGGGCCGTACTCTTGACCAGTATTCGTTCCTCTTCCTCCGAGATCGAGGAATATCTTCTTGGTCGCCGTTGTTCCTGTCGTACCTCGCCCGTCTCACGACGCCGTGCACGGCGCGTCCCATCGACGCACCGTGGCGCTACTCTTTCTCTTCTCCTCTCTTCTTCCTGACTATTCTTCTTCTTAAATTCAGTGACTCGTTGCACTCTTGCTTTCTCCCTCACTCACTCACTCACTCACTCACTCACTCGTTCGCTCGCTAGCTAGCTATTCACTTATCCTTTCTTTCTTCCTCTCTCTCTCTCTTTATCTTTATTTTTCGTTCTCTGTTTAATAGAAGGTTACTCTACTACCTTGCACTTCTTTTATGAACACGTAACAATGTTACGTGTATCACTTGTTGGCGCGATTAAACGTTCTTTAACTTTTTTCTTCCCCTTTTCCGTCTCCTCATCGGCTACTATCACTGACTTGTTCGTTTCCTTTACTTTCAATTGTTATTCTACTCTCCCGTATTTTAATATTTATTTTTTTTCCTTTTTTTATATTTAACGTTGGATAAAATAAAACTCGCGCTCTATTCTTACTTAGCTTCATGTCGGTACGACGCGCTCTCTCGGCTATGTACTCATACTTGCGCGGACCACGCCGAAATTTGACGTTAATCATCCGACATATGACGACACTACTTTATATCGCTAACCCACACCGCATCTAACAATAAGGCTGACACTCCTGCTCAAAACGCCGCTACTGTCGCCACCACAGCTGCCGCTGATGCTGCTGCTGCTACTACTAAACTTGTGCAGAACGTACAGCGACATATGCGCCCCTTAATCGACCAATCCACCTTCTGCAATTTTACGTAGCGGCATCACCAAAATTCAATGCTTCGATCTTATTACTTATCTTTTTTTTCACACCTCGTTTATCTTTTATAATGTTTTCTTAATAAACTTTATATTGCTTTCTTTTTCCCACGTGTGTATAAAAAAAATTATTAGCTTAGAGCTAGTTAGCTAAGCTCATTAATTTCACAATGTGTATTATAGTTAGAGGATGTTTGGGAGATAATAAAAATGCGGAGAATGTATGTTCTAATTAACGAATTTAAATATTGATTATTCCAAACAGTTTATTGAAATTATTATATGTAGAAAGAATAACGTAAGAATGTATATTTTTTATTTTTTATTTACAGATAATTACTTACTTTACAAATTGATTCATTTTTATTTTACACTTTCCATGCTTAGACGTAATTTATAATAAATCTATGACTCTTTTATTCGTGCTAATTTATTTGTTTCTAATTACAAAATTATTTCCTATTCAAGATGAGAATTTGTAAAGTCGAAATTATCTGTATTTGTTTATCACATAAAAGCGACATTTTTAAAAGATCGCTAGTTTTTAATATAATATTTATAGACTATATAAATTAATGGAGAGAGTACGACTAACAAATGTGAGGAATTCACGATGTTACAATTTTTCCTACAATTTGCATCGTTCTAATATAAATATTCCATTATCAAGCTATGTGACTATAATTGGTTGTTTTTCTAAATAATTTTTATAAGTTTATTGATCAAGGTTAATGTGTCAATGAAATATCTTAAAAAGCAGACATGCTGCTGTGTCACGTTCATAAAAGTCATCATTCACAAAAGTGAGCTTGCATTTATGTTAGATAAACTATGAATATATATTTCGTTTTTATTTATTCTCTCATCTTATTTATTATCAATCTAAATGTATGCTCAATTTGATGAGTAATTGTACATAGACGTTTACTAATTCGTTCAAATTAATTCATATTGCACCAGAAGTATAAGAAGCAAATTGTAGTAACTATTTATCAAGCTGTAAATATTACAAATTTGTATGATTTATCATTTTAACTAATCTAAGAAATAGTTTATTTTGCATACAAATAAACGTATAACGTATTGCTAATATATAAAGAAGTTTATAGAATATAATTTTTGTACTTATATCGTATAGATATCATAAAATATATTTTTCTATCAAATTCTATGTATATGTATATCTATTTGTTTAACAAATGCATTTATTCTGGTTGTGCTTTCACGTTTTCTTTACATTGCCAATACTTTCATTTTTTTTTTACATAAATATGTAAAAGCACATAAAAAATTTATCTCTAAATATAGATTAATATCTTTTTTATTAGCAATACTCTAAAATTATCACATTGACATTTTAGTTGTCATACAATTAAAGTTTTTACCACATATTAAATTGCATCGTTTTTTATCTCAATAATGTGCTTCTTCTATATATCCTCTCATACTTTTTGGCAATGGCAATTTGTGAATATTGTCCAATCTTGTATTTTGTCGTATAACAAAACGACAAAGATATTGTAAACTCTTGACTTGAGTGAACCTACTTACTGGCTTTGTTAGCCTTACAGGAAATGACGGACAACCAGGATACTTGGGTCTCGAATAACAAATTACTGCAGATTCACTGAAGTTCATAGAATAATCAATCAACGCAGCTATGGAAGTAAAGGATTTACTTTCTCCACGGTTGCATAATGAAAACAGACCCCTACTGTGTTCCATTCTGGCATGAAGTAATTTTCCCGATGACTTAAAACTTAATGTTAATAAATACCTGTTAATAAATATCAAATGAAATATATTTTGCGAATTAATATGTTTAATTTTATAGGGAAAGATAAGTAAAAATGATAGTGTACCTGTCATCAGATGAATCTCTAACTAAAAATGCACCATCTGGTTCTGACATAAGTTTAAGATCAGCTTGGTTTCCAGATATGGGACCCCAATACCAACCATATTTGCTTAATTTCAATAATTCTTCAGTGAGACAAGCTTTCAGCTTACTTTCATCATTTATTGCCATATCACTTTCCGTATCTGTATTACTTGTATGTTGTACTATTTGTCTTTCATCTGTAGTTTGCAGTGCTGGTGACTCTAGCGATGAATTGATATGAATTTTATCTTTTGTATCGCATTCTCTATTAAGTACTTCCAAATTCTTCGTTTCTCCTTCCGAATAAATATCTGTCTCACAATTTAAAGGTGAAGAAAATTGAGTATTACAATTAACTTTGTTCTCGTCAGTAGTATTTTGTATAACAGTGGTCAATGAATTATCTGTATCTGCAGAAGGAAGACATCGTTCGACCACTGGTGTGTCAATATCATTGGAAGATTTTGTCGGTCTTTCATTGTCAAACATAGAAATTATTTGTTGGGTCTCGTTAAGATAATCAGATGTTATGGATTTGTTTGCCTAAAACAATTTTGTTATAATGTTGAAAACCTATACATATAAATATATATAAATATATGCTTACTTTTTGTTTAGCTTTGCGTATTGCAAAATGCTTTTTAATATTTCCAAAAAAACCATGTTGTATTTTATTGGTAGTATTATTTTGTGGTTTACATGGTGCCACGTTGATAGTGTTAGAATCTTCACTCTTCCACTTGTTTTCATCTGATTTTATAACATTTTCACGATAATGTCGTTTCCATAAGAAATCCAAAGATTTCTTATTTAATTTCCAAGATATTAAACCGTATTTTGAAGTTTTAGAGTTATCCATTTGATTGACCATATCCAAAACAGAATAGGACAGAGTTTCGTTCTCATTCAAATTTGAACAAAACACTGAATCTGATTAATTATCATTTGTAATATTTAGAGTATTAAAAATATTTATATTTCAAATAGTTTGACTATTATTTTCTTCTAATCAAATTAAGATACACATGTATCGACATATTTAATCTTTCTCTCTTTTTCTATTTCTCTCTTTAACTTAATATGTATTTATTTTTATCAAAAACTGACACTATTTTTATCACTTTTTCGATCAAACGTATATATAATCCTTTACTAATTGCAAGTCAAAAACATCGATCAGTGATCAAGTGGTTCTCTAAGAGTTGTTTATTCGAATGTTACTGCTAGTAAACTGTTTGATTAAAATACAATTAAATATTAGGATTAATCATAAATTATTTACTCACTGTAATCTTTGATTATAAAAATTAATTTATATTTTTTTTATTTTCCTACCTTTTCTTAGAATAGTCAATTATTAAGATTTATTTCTATGAAACAATAGTCACTCATTTGTTAGTTGGAACCGTTATCTGGTGATTACCAAGAACTGTTAATTACGTTTTATAATTCTTGATTGATTTTGATGAACAAGATCTCATTTGGGAAATAAAAGATTAAACGTTTTATTCTACTTTTTAAATTTCTAAAAAAGCTTTATTTTTACGTATAAATTGTTTTCGAAAATGTAGTATTATTTGAAGAAATTTCATTCGCAGAAAAGAAAATTTTGATTGTTCGTGTTAACAACAGAGGTCACTGCATGTATCACATGAACGTCGTTGCTGTGCGAATAGTCCATGAAGTATAAAAAAGCAGTGAATTGACATATTGCATATCGCTTTATTAGAGGTTAGAAGATCTTTAATTAAAGGTAATATAAAGATATAAATTATATTAAAATATTAAATAATCGTAAAAATAAACTAGAGATTAATTGCTATTACAAAACTGTTAAATTTGCACATATAGAAGAGTAATTGCATGAAAATATTTTTTGACATATAGTTCGATTTGTATGAATTTATTGTTTAAACGTAAATATAATATTAAATATATAAAAATATTGGATATCTAATAATGAATTTAAATAAGTTCTTATTCTCATTTTTTTTTTTTTTTAGAAGAAATTATTTGCACTTATATTATATGCAACATTTATATTAAATCGACTTTTTGATATAGATATCAAAATGGGTGTACTCGGAAGAACTACGGAAGCAATGGAAGTAGAAGTTACTGATACTCAAAACGGAGAAGGTGATTCGGGAGATAAAAAGGATAGCGATCTTGTTGTTATTCACGAGATTCGAGAGCACACTCGTCAAATTGAAAAAGCTGTACAAAACAAAGAACCACGATTTATTTTGCGTGCTCTGCGTACTTTACCTAATACACGTCGCAAATTAAATCCCATTGTATTGAGAGGGCTCATCGGTGGATTTTATACAAAGTCAGCAGCAGAACGCGAAGCACTTTTAGTTTGGGTAGATGAACCAATGGAGATAGATGACAATCAAACAGCTATTCAAAGATTTAGAAGTTCTTCTGCTATCTTATTACCAGAAATTGATGCTTATATTCATTTACTAGTACTTGTGAGATTAATAGATACTAGAAAGTACGACGATGCGGTACAGTGCTCGGAAGCTCTTATGCAAAAGATCGTAATGCAGAATCGAAGGACTATAGATTTAATAGCAGCTAAGTGTTATTTCTATCACTCGCGTGCTTATGAATTAACCAATAACCTTTCCAAAATAAGAGCTTTTCTACATCTCCGGTTACGTACAGCTACTTTGCGTAATGATTTCGAAGGTCAAGCTGTTCTTATTAATTGTTTATTACGGAATTATCTTCATTATAATTTGTATGATCAAGCGGATAAGCTTGTACTTAAATCAACTTTTCCTGAGTCTGCGAGTAACAATGAATGGGCAAGATTTTTATATTATTTGGGAAGAATTAAGGCTGCAAGATTAGAATACTCTGCAGCTCATAAATATTTAGTTCAGGCAATGCGTAAAGCACCGCAAACTACTGCAATTGGTTTTAGACAAACCGTGCAGAAATTGGCAGTTACAGTAGAACTTTTATTAGGAGATATACCGGAAAGACAAATATTTAGACAGGCTGCTTTACGTCGTGCTCTTGCTCCATATTTCCAATTGACACAAGCCGTTCGTTTAGGAAATTTACAAAGATTTGGAGAGGTATTAGAAAACTTTGGACCACAATTCAGAACAGATCATACTTTTACATTGATTTTAAGATTAAGGCATAATGTTATTAAAACTGCTATTCGTTCCATTGGACTTTCATATTCGAGAATTTCACCTGCCGATATTGCACGCAAACTCGGTTTAGATTCTGGTGTTGACGCTGAATTTATAGTAGCAAAAGCTATACGTGATGGAGTAATAGAAGCTACATTGGATCCCGAAAATGGTTATATGCGTAGTAAAGAGACTACTGATATTTATTGTACTAGAGAACCACTTTTAGCGTTCCATCAGAGAATAACGTTTTGTTTAGACTTACATAATCAAAGTGTCAAAGCTATGCGTTATCCACCAAAATCTTATGGGAAGGATCTTGAATCCGCGGAAGAACGAAGAGAGAGGGAACAACAGGATTTAGAATTAGCAAAAGAAATGGCGGAAGAAGACGATGATGGTTTTCCTTGAATTATTTCATTACTATTAATATTATATTTTAATTGTATTATTTAATCGATTTGGCATATAAAACAATTTAAAGTTGCATTATAATATATTAATACATGATGTACAACTATTTTCGACTATCATGAAGTGTAATTATTTTCAAAGATTCATTTTAATCCTTTGCACTCCGCACGACTTTCGACGCTGGGTAGCAGCAACTCCGCGCGACTTCGCGGCAGAAACGGCACATTTATAGACCCTCGTATTATTTAGTATAACTTTGGAACCAAATAACGGATTCTAATAATAATCTAATAATGATACTGGACTTATATTAATATTAAGAAACATATTTACCTAAAGAACTTTTCCAAAAGAACTTATTTACCAAGAAAATGTATGTGTGTAATAGCGTTGCGATTGAAAAAAAGCAAACGCGTTCCGTTGTATTTGAAATGTGATACTATTTGATAATATTTCTTTGTACATTATAAATCTCACTATAAAATGCTAGATATGCTCCTATAAAAACATTTCTTTTACAAATTCTTCTTATCGCTCTTCTTAAGTTTCGCCATAAAGTTCTCGGACTGTCGTGAGCACGCGTCTCGCATTCTCTTACAACACAAAACCCGCTGACATTTTTTTTATATATCTTTGTTATTTTACTATATTTTGATTCGATGTCTTGTGCTATTTTATGAAAAAACAACAGGGAAACATGCATGTCTCAAAAAGTTGTGCTGAAATAACTTAATTCCCCATAATCACTAATAAACTTTAATGTCTCATACGTTGAGACAGCGGAGTGCAAAGGGTTAATATCCCATATTGTATATGTCTAATAAGGAGAATGCAAGGTCTTGACCGAACGGATTTTGTTCAAATTTGGTAGGATGATAGATTTTGCTTCTCTGTTCACGAATATATATGATTATAAGGGACACTACTCAATAATTTTTTAGATATTTGCAATTAAAGATGTTAAAGATGCCATTTAGTCCTAAAATTCAGTTCTGTAGAAGCCTGTTAGAAGCCGAGTTGTTCGAATCCGGGCTGGGTAAATTTTGTTGTTGTCTATTTTTACATATAAAGATACATAATGGAGTTTAAATAAGTTGGAAATGAAATGTCTTTAATGACTAGAAAACTTATAAGAGTTTTATTTGTCATTATCATTCGTATAAGTACAGAATAATATAAAAATAAAAAAAAATAAATAATAAAAAACAATAATAAAATAAAATAAAAATAAAAAATAGTAATAATATAAAAATTGACATAAAATAAAAAAAAACTCATCTTGCATGGATTCAAATCATAACAACTCATCTTCTTAAGTTACGGTAAACCGAACCGTTGCCCTTTTGCTGAACCCGTTATATACAATCTTTAGCTACAGAAATAAATTTAAGGACTCAAAAGCATCTTTACCATCTTTAATTGCAAATATCTAAAAAAATTATTGAGTAGTAATAAGGACCATTTTATGATATATATTCATGCAATTTTTTATAAGTTAGCTTTGATTAGCTTTTCTTGTTTTGTTGGTAATATAGAAAATGACGTTAACCACTTGTGTACAATTTCGTCGATAATTATCACATTTCTTTTTTTACCGACAGTAAGTTCATCAAAATAGAACGAAAGAAAAATTTGATACGGAAATTGAACATAGATGGCACAACTTGTACTTTATCATTTATTAGAATGTTTATAGTTATTTTATTGTATTTTTTGTGTGTAATACAAAACTTGAGGAACGAGATATCTTCTAAAAATAAATAATTAAACTTTTATTTAGAATAGTGTATATATATCTTCTAGAAGAATAGACGTTCAGATACGAAGAAAAAAGAATATATATATATCATATGGTAGGAGGATAATATTACATTATATTTTAAGTTTATTCATTTTACCCTTAAACATAGAGATCTCTCAAAAATTTGTTTATCATTTTGCAATTTATTGTATTCAGGATTGGTATTTTGAATTCTCATGAAGGTGCACTAGACTCGTGTAATTAAATTACGTTATTTAATCAATTATATTATTTTACAAGCGTACTTGTGAGAAAGAGAGAAAGAGAGAACAGTAACAGGATTAAGAAAATTAATTCTAAAAATTAGTTGTTAATACGATTGGAAAATATAGACAACAAACGCTTAAATAAGAAAACGAAACGCATAGTTTAGCATGTCAAGTTTAGTGACGTTTTCAATGATTGATGAAGTATCAGTTAAGAATGTCTCAATCGATGATCAGGTTCTACCGTGGTTCATTATAAACAGCTAACAGTGAGTCGACTCAACTGGGCGTTATCTCAAATCTCGAGGGTTAGCCTTGTTAGCAAGCTGAACTATGGACTATTACATTTATCGAAGTCGATCCACCAAAATCGAAAAATGACGTGTATAGGCAGTGATGGATATTTTCGAAGGAGCAAAGGACCTCACATTGTCGTAGATCAAGTCGAAATCTTGTCTGGTACCGATCGCGAAGAGATTAAACAGGTATGATATTTAATTAGTTTGCTTATTAAAAACGAATATCAATGTCACGATAATGTTTCTAAGTTATTTACTATTTGATATAGAGAAAACAAGTATTATTAACGTCATTTGAATGTTTCAGACATTTTAACGAAATTTAAATAATTAATGTAATAAATTAATGTATTTAAAATCATTTAACCCCTTAAGTTGCACGCTTGAATTAACTCGAGCGGCGTTGTATTACGTTGAGCCAAATTTTTCCTTAAGGAGTTAACCTAAAAAGATTATAAAAAATACATTAAATACTGATTAATATTTTGAAAAAAATAGAAGAAACATGGGTTTACTTGAAAAATATAAAGTCAGTTGTAGAACAATTCTTAGAAGTTCGTTGGAAACCATTCTTATATATTTGTTCCTTATAGATATTTATGTTAAAAGAGTTGAAAGAAAAATGGCGGAACGTCGAAGAATCGGTCATACGATCGCGAGAGCTTGAGAGGAGTCCTGAATAAGGTATGTCAGAGGGCAAGGTGGGGATCTACGAGGATTCTCGCGAGAGGTTTCAAGAGGAGGGTAGAAACGGGGACCGAGATAAAGTCAGAATTATGATAGTCTCCGTTTAAGACAATTAAGGTAGAACCGGTTCACAACACGTGTTACAAGCGAGGCCCTCCCCGTATCTCCTCTTTCGGGCTCATAACCCGGCGTCATGTCTTCTAACTAGGCCCCTCTTAAGCTACCCTCAACGCCAGTTTAAATATTGACTACCTCAAAGAGTCTTTCAAAGTGGAATATAAGGACATCGTCTTTCCCGGTCCAACGTTTTATCCTGGGTTAAGTTTTGTCCACTTTTCTTTAAGGTTTGATTACTCTGAAATTCGGACAATATTTGATCGTTGAAGTTTCGCACGAGATGTGAAGATAGGGACGATGCCAGTTCGTCGATGTCATTTGTTATGGCTGTATCAGATCGTGGTGTATGCGCGACACGTATGCATATATGGACATATATATGTAAGTATGTGTAGATACACATACTTTCTCTCTCTTTCTCTTTGAAAGGAGAAGAGACGACTCTCATAGCTTTGCCCAAAATCATTCTGTCTATCTATCAGTGATGCACTTTTTTCTCATTCTATTGAATGACCGATACAGAAAAGTACTTCGTTACGAACGAGTTTGTACACATAAATAAATTCGTTACTTATTATTTTAATTGAAGAAAGCTTAAACAATAAAATTATTTAATTGATCCTAATTAATGTATACAACTGTCTTAATATAATATTATATTTATTATTATATTTATTATTATTATTATTATTATTATTATTATTATTATTATGAAGTTGATATTAAAATATGATTTATATTTTAATCGAATGATAGTATAGATTAATTTTATATATTACAAGAGGTGAGAAACGTTTAGAAAGAGTCAAAACATTTCTACCAAGGTAGCGTTTAGTTACTCCCAATGATGATTCGTTATTTTTTTTTCTCGTTTATTATACCCTTCTGGAATTTGTCTAGTCACGCGTGTTTAGTATAATAACCAATTCAGCTTCTTAAGATGATCTTGTACTATAAAAACAATTTTATGTTATCAAAACTTTATTATATTTTTTTACATTACTATGTTATTCGTTAATACACATGTATACACAAATAATTGGATTTCTCGGTTCTGTTATAAAAATAGTAGACAAACGGCAGGACGTTTTGACATCTTAATTTGTAAGTAAGTAACTAAGTAAATAAGTATATAAGTACGTTTCATTGTCAGACAGGTGAACGGGTAAGACAAATCGTTCGGTTACGCTATCAAGCATTAAATTCATTTATCCTTTTATTCTTCGATCTTATCGTTGCTTTCTCAATGGTGGCACGTCGTAATCAAAGTCTTGATTCGACAAAGAGAGTAGAGGTGTATAGTTGTATGTATAGTCCTGCGGGGATAAAACTCGATCACGATTTCTTACTCGTAAATGGTACGTTCTCGTGTCAAAATGTGTGATCAAATGCGTTCAATAATTATAGAGTTAAATATTTCTAAAAATAATTTAACTTAACAAGTAATAATTATATATTTTGTTAAATAACATATTTGTATTAATCGACGTAAATATAATTATGTCAAGAAGAGTTTGTTAGATAATTATTTTTCCATAAAAATTTATATACATTTAATAACAAAGTAAATACGTTTCATCAAAACCATGTAAAACGAGTGAAATTAAAAAGTAGATTTAATTCAAAACAGTAATGGAAACTCTTAGCTGTATAAGTTCTTAGTTATGAGTACGTGGAAAATGATTTTGAAATCGTGTTAGAGGAAATAAATTATATAAAAAAAACAAAATGAATTTTTTCTTGGACCGCATTATCTTGAAACTGTGTAAAAAGAAAACTGTTGCATGTATAGGAATAATTTCAAATAAAGATTACTACGTTTTAACAAGGATATATATTCATGATTAAATGAAAATTATAGTACGTCAATAATCTCGATAAGATCATTCTTTTTTTCTTTTTTCCTTTCAAACTTAACTATTTAACGAATCCTTGAATTTTCTATTCCAGGACAACAGGGGTTTTTACGTAGGCGTTTTCAACACGTAACGACGTTTCTAGGAGCTTACGATGATTAAGGTATATACCTACCTAGTTATTTTTTCTCATTCCTTCTTTTTTTTCTCATCTTCTTCTTTTTCTTCTTCTTCTTCTTCTTCTTCTTCGGCACGCGAAGACGTAAAGCACGTAATAACGAAGAGAGAATCATCGAGATAGGAAGAAGCGAATATAGTTGGCTTTCACGATGAACGTTGAAACTCGTGGCAACGCCATCAATGGTACATCTACCGGCCATTCCAGGTTCTCCATTGCAGGTAATTCACTCTAGCACGCATAATATCTCCGTTCTTAGTTGGCCAAGAGGTCGACTTTAGTTCCACGCTTTTTCTTGGATCATCCGGGATCATCCACATCCACATTCACGAACAACGTTGAATTTTCTTCTTGAATTCTCCTTTGTCGTTACAGTGAGAAGACGAATAAGAAAGAGATGAAAGTAATTTTATAGAAGCATTGTACAAGCACGTAAGAAAGACATAAAATCGAATGAGATCTCGTATCAATTGTATAAGCAATACCGGAATACTTAGATCGTTACGAGAAAGTCATTCTATTCGAAAATCACGAATCGG